CAGCCAGATGGATGTGTGAACATCAGAGCCTCTTGGCTTTCAGAAATCAGAGTGTCTAAAAAAACCCAAGAGGATGGTGAGATTCATCAGCAGGAGCAATTTGGCAGTTTATAAGGGTGATCCAGTAGCATGATGAAGAGGAAACATCCTGGGCTTTTCCACCAGAGCTGATGACAGGGACCTCGGCTGGTAAACATTACACAGCAGTGACTTCCCCGTTAACCACAAGAACCACCCAAACCTCTCAAGTGTTTCATTTTTTGTTTCATTTCGTCTTTAAGCCACACAAAAATTTGCACAGTGACTTGCTGGAGAGTCTGGGGATGTTCCTCTGGCTCATCTGTACAAGGCTGAGAAGGGACTCCTCCTGCCAAAGTCTGGTGACACAGTGGGATCACAGGGGATGGACCTCTCCAACCAGTGTTGGGTGTTCAACCATGGGTGTTCAGGTCCAATCCTGGCCTTGTTGTCACCCCCACCACCTCACTTCTCATTGCTGCTTGTGCATAGATTGCTTTGGGCAAGGTCTTTGTAATGCCTGGCCCAAAAAAGCCCAGAACTCACCATGTGAGTCCATGATACCGTATGGTATGGGAGAAGCTCCATCCATCACTTCTTACTGTGAATATTTTTCCCAATTAGCTGTCCCAGCCCATTTTCATCTCCTCCCTTAAACCACCAGAAATTTGTCCCCACCTTGATATGTCTCCACTGTGTGCCCAGCAAGCCAGGATGAATTTTAAAATGCACATAGACAACACAAAGAAAATGCTGTTTCCATGTGTGTGGGGGTTTTACTAATTCCTCCTAAGCCAATTTTTCACCATTTTGCCTCCAGAAGGCCTTTCAGACCAGGGACATGGGCAGAAGGACCCATTCACCTCATGGGCTGGAAGAAAACCTGCAAGACAAGAGCCCACAGATACCTTGGAGAGTCGGGGGAGTGAGTCAGATGCTGAGCGTTACCTGAGACTGGGATCATGGCTCTGCACCACTTGCAAATGGTTTTCCTACGTGAAAAACCATGATCTCAAGAGGGTGGAATTTTACCACCTTCCCTTGCAGTACATCAGCAGCTGACATTTTGACAATATTTTACATATGATTTAGCACAATAACTGCATCGTTTGACCCCTCTTTATTGCACTCCTCAGTTACTGCTTGGCAACACTGGGGGGAAAAAGGCCCAGCCGTGCTGTAATTTACTTTGTTGCAGTATGTCATTAGAAGATTTAGCACTGATGATCCTGGAGCCGTGGTCCAAAGCAAGAGCACAGTTAACAGGGACAGACTGATGTCAGACATCCCAAATTTCCGGAGAAATCCCTTTCTGAGGAAGAGAGAAGGGAGACATGTCCTGCCGTCCGCTGGAAAATCTGGACTTCAGACTGTCTCAACCACCTGATGTCTGAGCCTCTTAAGTGGATGAGATTTCTCTAAGGTGATTTCCAAGGAGGGAAGAGTGGAATCCACAGCTAAGCCGTACAGAGCACGAGGATAGGTGAGGTCCCAGGGCCTCCGTTGTTCTGCTGGAAGATGTTCATGGAGCTGGGGAGTACCTGAATTTAGGTGCTGAGGGCATGAAGCAAGAAGGACATCATGTTGCTGTCCAGGAGCAACCTGTCAGCTGATGCATTTTCATTTGGGAGGGACCTGGCTCTGCTCTTGCCCACAGATCCTCCACCCAAGGGCAGGTCGGGGCTGCGGTTCTGTTCACACCAGGTTTACTCCTGGTCAGTGCTTTGCTTCCTGTAGCTGCAGCTTTTCTGAGCCCTAAAGATGGATTTACAGAATTGGCAAACCCCAGGCAAGGGGAAATTCTTCCTTGTTAACCTCCAATCTCTATTTTAACCTTTAGACTACCTCCCACTCACCCCAAATCTACCAGTTCTAGGGCTGAGTGAGCTTTGGGTGAATGGGGACACATATGAACTGGTGCTCAGCATCCTTCTGTCACGTTTTTTTTTTCCCCTTTCTTTTTTGTTGCATTGAATGAGGGCTAAAATTAGCTCAGCAGGAGGTGAAGGCTGGAACATTTTAGCTAAAACTGTCATAGCACTGAAAAGCCATAGTTTTGCTGATTATTTCTCAGCTTTCTTACTGCAAACAGCATCTCCGGGCTGTTTATTTTGACAGATAAATGCAAGCAAAGATCCCATAAAATAAAGTGATCCATGAGGCTTTTCAGGTCATTCTCCAGATGATTTAACATTTGACCTGGAAAGGTATGTCCAGTGGAAGGTCTGGACAGTTCAACGTGTCATAGCCATGGCCAGGGGTAGTCAGGTAAGGGGTGTGGAGGATGTCCCAGACCCTTCACTGCACCCTGCAAAAACAGCCCTCTGGCACTGCACCCATCGTGGGGGCACCTCCACGGCCAAACTCTGGGCTTAGCTGGATCATTTTTCCTCTTTGCACTGTCACAGAACAATAGAACAGTTTAAAGATCATCTCATTCCACCCTCCTGCCATGTGCAGGGACACCTTCCACTATGCCAGGTTGCTCCAAGCCTCCTCCAACCTACCCTTGGACACTTCCAGGGATCCAGGGGCAGCCACAGCTTCTCTGGGCAATCTGTGCCAGGGCCTCACCACCCTCACAGCCAGGAATTTCTTTCCAATAGTTTGAAACCATTCCCCCTTGTCCTGTCCCTCCAGGCTCTTTTCCAAAGTCCCTCTTCAGATCTCTTGCAGCCCCTTTAGACACTGGAAGGAGTTCTAAGGTCTCCCTGGAATCTTCTCCAGGCTGACCACTCCCAGCCACGTCACCTCTGTCTCCATGACAGAGCAGCTTCAGCCTCTGAGCATTATTGTGACCTTATATATTTTGGAAAGCTGCTGTGAAGAGTTCATTTAGGGGTACAGTATTTTTATCCTCTGCTTTTGGCTTTCGGGATGTGCAATTTTGTGTAGTCTCTGTACCTCACAAGAGGAAATCCTGAAAGATAGGAAGGTTAAATTACTTGGTCACATCTCATGGGCTGATGAGTGAGAACAAGAATCAGATCTCAGTTCAAGGGACAAACCTAGCTACGCTACAATTTGACTTCAGGGCTTTTACCACCAGGATACAGCACATACCTCATGGAACCAGGTGAAAACATCTGCAAAACATCCCTGCAGTGCAGAGTTCTCTGGTGTGTCCACGTGGTTCAATGCTACTTCGGTGCCACACATCAGAGACAAAACTATCATCTCATCTCTTCTGGCTTAAGGCCCACAGGCAGTTTTCAGAAGCACAGTTTGGAGGTGGGAGAAGTACAAGTTAACCAAATATTCCCCATCTTTTGGTTAATGTAAGGCAAAAGCCATCCAACTGTGGCAGCCCCATCCCTGGAAGTGTCCAAGGCCAGGTTGGATGGGGCATGGAGCAACCTGGTCTAGTGGAAGGTGTCCCTGCCCATGGTAGAGAAGTGGTAGAGATGATCTTTAAAGTTCCTTCCAACTCAAACCATTCTGGGATTTTTCAGATTTCTGCGCTTCTCAGACAGTTGACTGTAACCCCAGAGTGGTCACTGATATGGTGGCTCCTAAGTTTGGAATGATCTAACCCCAGGTCACTACTGCCCACACAGACCCGCTCACACAGATCAATGCTACAAAAACTCACACATAAGGAGTCAACAACTGGCTTTGCAATGAAGTTGTCTGTTTCATCCTTCACCTGCAGAACCTTTGATAGTGTTCCTTGAGCTCCTGACACGTCATCACTGCCAGCTTGGCTGCTGGAGCACACAGGTGTCATGTGATTATTGGATATTTCAAGTTTGCTGGCCAAAGCCAAACTGTAGTGTAGATGGCATTGTTTCAAGATTTGTTCTTACAGCTACCTCTCAGTACACATCAAGCAAGACAGAATGGCTGCATTCATCGTGCCCTCAGCTTTCCATGCTGATTCCCACCTGAAGGACAAGGTGAGAGCCTGGAAACTCCCACACAAACCTTGCACACAATCAAAAACTGTTTTGAAGCTGGTTCATGGGTTCAGTAACATGAATCCATCTGAAGGCACAGTCCATTCAGAGACAACCAAATGCTGTATCTCAGTAAATCCCTCTGGGATGGGCACCTTTCCACTGAACAGAAGGCACAGCATGGAGCTTATGTTCACAGAGTCTGATCTGCTGCTACGTCCATCCACCACCCGAAGGACAGCAGAGGCTGAAGTCACGCTCCCGAGGTCCAGTCATTTTGGTGGGGTAGAATACAAACCTTTTACTTCCCCACATCCTCCAGTCTCCAGGACTCTGGCAGTTCCACTCAAGGTCCCTCTCCCCAAAAGGCAGGAACCAGCTGTAGGGACCTTCTAGAGCACGTGTGCCAGGGGGATGTGGGGCAGTGAATGCCTAAAGGGTGAAGCGGGGCAAAAGGAATAAAAACCTTTACTTCCAGAGGGGTGGGAGATAAAAGGGGTGGGAAATAATTGGGGAAACCCACGAAGGCTTCCTCCTCTTCTCAAATTTTCCTCCTCACCTGGTGGCACAGACACCTGTGTCCCAGCACAGAGCAGAAGCTTGGCCTCCCCAGGTATTTCAGGGACAGGGACAGCGTATAATGTGAGCTTTGTCCTTAGCACTGGGGTTCTTTCAAGCTGAAATTACGAAAAACAGGAACAATAACCCAGCAGATTTTGGGCAGCCAGTCCCTCCACTCTTGAGGCTGACGGGGTGCACTCAAGCTGGGGAGCCCAAAGTCACGTGCACCAAATTGGCCCAACAGAGCCCAGATCTCAGGGTGATCCCACCCCGGTGCCACCCACGCCAGAGAAGCCCCACACAGGGCTGGAGTGGGTGCTCCCACCGCTGACCCCACGCAGGACCCACTTAAAGCAGCATCTCTCCTGCCTGCCTCCCCCCCACCACTAAAAAAGCCACTTGGCACAGCCTGGGATCAAGTGTACATTTTTATTTTTTAACAGAACATAAACTCCTTTAGAAAAAAAAAAAAACAACATTCAGCTGGATGATAACACCCATAGAAAAAACACCAATCTCGTGTTCTTTTTTTTTTTTTTTTAATTTGGCATTTGTTATTTGCATTTATATTAAAGCAAAGTGCATCTTTCTTATTTTTTCTCGTTTATACACATTGCACAATACATAAATAATGATGCTTATAAAAGTCTTTATATTTACAAGTAATAATATATTTATATATAACATAAAATACATTTTTTTCTTTAATAAATCTCAGGGTTTTTTAAGGAGTCCTTTTTTTTTGTGTGTGTGTGTGTATTTCGAAAGCACTACAATGCTAAAGATCCAATGAGAATGCTCTCTTGTTCAATTAAACCTTTATATTTAGAAAAATAGCTTATGTTAAGGTCTAAACATGCTCATTGAGCTAAGAACAGTGTAAAAGTATCATACTCGTGTATGAATTCAAGAAGAAATGAAAGCACAACTGCATTTCCAGATAAGGTGGTACCTGGATAACCTGATCTAAGCAGGTTACAACAGACCAACTATGGTGAACACTTTGTCTTTTTGTTTTCCCCATTTGTTTTATTCTTTTGTTTAGTTTTATGGTTGGTTTTTTTTTTTTTAGGCTTAGGCTTCTGTCGCTTCACATCTGAGCTGAAATTACCAAGCACGGGCCATGGGCGAAGCTCCTCCGCTGTTGTTTTCTCCCCTTGCATCAAATCCATGGCCGTAAAACACACGGAAAAAGCAGTGGAAGGATGAACACAGTGACAAGACACGAACCCAGCAACAAGAAAAATACAATAAAAATTCAAAAGGGTCGGTAAAAGACCCGGTTGGGAAAGTTTTGCACCATCCTCCGGCGGCAACGCAGGGTTAGCACCGCTGGGGAAGGGATCTCGGTGTCACCGTCACCAGGGTTGGGAAGGTGGTGCGTAAAAAATACAGGTATCTTGTTGATTTGTCCAAGAGAAGGAGCTGTAACATAGAGCAAGTGGCTTTCAAATCCGTCGATCCCCTTCAAAGATGTGAAATAATTATCTTATGTGATTCTAGATATCCCCCTTGCACCCTTCTCTCACCCTTCTGAGTCATTGGTCATTCACACTTCTAAAAAATAGATATATTTATCAAAATACCCCCAAGGCGAGAAAAAAAAAAAATATCTTTCCATAAGCTATTTCTCAAAACGAAGAGAGGGGTAACAAACAAAAACAAAACAAAACCAAAAAGTTTGCATGAAAAGCAAGCACTCAGAAGGAAATAGTAGCAGCAAAGTAGTATAAATGTCATGAGTCCACACTGTCTCGAGTCATCGGTTATTAAAAATAACCTCCAACCAGCACGGGCAACTGCTGATGAACTGTCTAGTGTAGCAATGGCCCCAGCCTTTCACAAAGCTGATCTGAACAGTAAATCCGGTCCATGGTTGCTGCATAAACTCATGGTCGTTGGGTCTCTGTAAGCTGTACGCCTTCTCGTAGTCAAAAGCCTTGATGGAAAAACCTGGAAACACTTTGTGAACCAGCAACATCCTGGAGTTGGGGTTGTCCAGTGTGGCCGACTTGATGAAGATGGGGTAACTGCTGCGGTTGTACACCCACACGCCATCCACTTCCTTGGTGAGCTGGATGCCATAGCCAATCTTGCTGCGGACCTTCTGCACCAGTTGGCTTTTGTTGTCTGAGTTGAGCTGTCCGAGGCAGAAACCATTCCCCTGAGGTAGATCATAGAAGATATCCAGGGAGGGCTCTTGGACAGAGTACAGCCGACCCACGCGTGTCTTCTCTTCCCAGTATGCCACCACACACCAGTGTGACCTATCCCCTGGCTCCTGAAGAACTTGAGAATCTACAGAACAACAGGAAATAAAAAAAGAAAAAAAGGAGAAATTTAGCACCAGTGGAGTTGCCCTGCCCATGTCTTCATGATGTTCTCCATGCACAAACCAACATCCACAGCACACCCTCTGTTTCCAAAAGTCATGTTATCAAGAACATTTCCAGGTTTGGGGGACTCCTGTGCTGTTCCAGTGCCTAGCTTTAGCTGGATTTATGGGTCCTAAATCACCAGGTCCATCTCTAAAGGTGGCTTCAGACACACCAGCAGCCCCTGAGGCACAGTCACCCTCACCCACACCAACACCAGGACCATCTTCAGTGCCAAAAGGAGGGGAGATGCTCCAGCTAGCAGAATCCACCAAGAACAAACACACTAAGGCCCCTTATTTTTACCCAACAAGTGGTGCATTAATTTCCATAAATAATGATCCACTGTGCACAGGCACAGAAAAAACATGAGATGCTGCTAAGAAAACCACACTGATGTTCACTCCATGGGACCAGAGGGGATGGGAACTTGCCCCCAGTTCATGGGCTTTTTCCTACCCATATATAGAGTCTGGGTGATGGAGAGGATGGACATGTCAGACAAAACCCTAACTCATGGGAAGCACCAAGAGATAGATGGAACCAAAAATCTCATATTTATTAACAAAAATGGCTTAAAAAAACCTCAAAAAAACCCCCAGAACTAAATTCCCTTAGCCCTTCTTTCAACTTCCTTCCCGATAGCTACCCTGTGCGTGCAGCAAGGATATGATGTAGGAGGAAAAAGCAAGGGAGGAGGAGGGAAAAAAATGTGAGAAAGCAAGCCCCTTTTCCTTATGGAGAATCCCTAGCAGGCTGGCGCTGCTCAGCGGGTAATTCCTTCCAGCCTCAGTAGGCATGTTAAGACCTGGGAACTATTCATCTCTATAACTGTATTTAAAAAGAAAAAACAACCAAAACAAAACAAAAAACAACAACTAGCTGGGAATGCAAGTTAGTGAGCACTACCAAAATAATCCCCTGCACCATGGGAGATGGGATGGTGGGTGACCCAGCAACCCAAAGCCCTCCCTGCAGCTCCTCAATTCTCCCCCTCCCCATGGCAACACGCTGGCTTCCCTGTTTTCTCAATTTTTTGCTATTAATAACCCGTTTCC